GTCCTTGTAAACAGGGGTAGTTGTACAAAAGAGCCCAGTTGAATAATTGATGGGATGTAAGAGGATCTGGCTTTAGGGGATTTTGGAGCATTGATTCTGGCTGAGGGAGGACTGAACACGAGGCCTTCCTGCTGCTAACCTTTGTAAATGCTTTTCCACACTTCCCTTTAGCCCTTAAATCACCTAGAGCGGGCAATCTTTAGCTGCGTATAGTATTTTCTGTCTGCCGTCAGTCTGTTAAACTTCTATACATCTCTTCCTGTCTTTTCCTCCCTTCTGTTATTCATCGTACTTTTTTCTGTGGATGAGACACGTTCGACAAGCCGTCATTGCTTCACACAGCAGCACTGCTAAACAAGAGGGATGGCTGCAAAGAAGTGAAGACGGACAAAAGGGAATACAAACAAATCAGACAGGAAACGGAGAAAGAACGGACAAGGAAAAGAAACTTTTTTTTTGCCTATAATAAGTTCAATAAATGTAGGTCAGTGATAAGGAGCAGTTGGTTTTATTTAGAAATTCATTTGATAATCCTGTATTGTACATGAAGGATTGGCCCAGCCCTGTTGTAATCACACTTCAGATCTTCACACACAAGATCTACTGAGACCACAGAACATACTAGAACCATTTAACCCTACACACACATCCAACGCAAACAAACCAGCCACCTGAGAACAGGACCTGACTTCAGGTTGGACTCACCCTGCAGCATCCAAGGAAGAGTAGGTTCCAATCACCCACATCAGTACACGCTCTGTTCACAATGTCAGACAGTGTTGAATATGTTTAAAGAAACCAGGTCTCAGTGGGGCTCAGTATGGAGCTTAAATATTGATAAAACAAAAAGCAACATCATTCATTTGAGCTCTGTAAGCTAGTGTGTTGCCTGGAACTGTTTTGGGCTGGGGGTTACATGTACATTTGAACCTGGACAGTTACAAGCACAGCAACACCGGCTTTCCCAACTTTCTTGGTCTCTCACAGTAATCACCACATTTTTTGCAGCACAAACACTGAGCCCACATATAATCTCTAACAATAAACCGAATAAACAAAGAACATAATATTTTAATTTTCCACTTTTTTCTGTCCTATTATTATTATTATTTGGCTTTCTTTCCTTCTTTCTCTGCAGCCATCCCTCGAATGCCAGTGTAAAACAACTGTAGACTGACAGCAATACAACCCATACACAACAAAAAGTTCACAGCCAACCATGTAATTCACATCAGAGAAGACAACCCACGAAAACCAATTATCATAAATGCCCCCGTTTGGGAGGTGAGTGTGTATCCAGGCAACCAAGGCCTGTAGAAGCCATGTGCTAAACCCAACAGGAAGCTATGGTCTTCAGTTTAATAGTACAAAGCTTAGCTTTGTTATTTGAAAACTCTTTTTAAATGAGTAACAACGGAGACGTTCCCCAAAAGCTGCAGAAACCTAATAGGTCGTGCAGTGATTATACAACGTCACTCACATACACATTAAACACAGATCTAAACAACAACTAAATCTGGCAAAAATGAAAAGGATGAAACTGGGGGAAATAAATACAGCAAATGGTAAAAAGTATGGTGGGTTAAAAAAAGCAGTACATGTTAAAAGAGTATCGAAAAAACACCTGTCATAACAACAATTTATTCTGTCTATGCCTGTAGGCATAAAAAACAAAAACAGTGTAGACATGGTAGGGAATATAGCTCTTTACCTAGATGAAAGTCATTAATAAACTGCACTTTTCTTCACCTTTCTCTGATCTTCCTCTACACATATGCCTGCTTGTAACCCTTTCATATATCTACCTGCGGGGCTTATAAAATAAGGTGATATAAATGTATTCATATTGTGGTTTGGTATGAAACTCAACTCAGCAAGCAGGCAGCTGAGAAATGCTTCCAATTGTATTCATTGAACATTTCAGATATTATAGTATATTTTACAAAGCTGCATCTTCCACATTATCACAGCTACATGTCTGTGAAACGTCTGAATGGTGATCAACCTATTATGCAAATTATTTATTACAAAGTTATTTCCTCATTGAAAGGATTTAATAGCTGACTCGATGATAGAGGCGGCGTTTGCGGCGTTTTCTGGCGATTTGCAGCACAGTTTCGCGCATGTTCAAACGCGCCGTACCTTTAAATCTGGCACTGTTGCTCAGAGTCAGGTGTGTAGGTGGAGTTGCCGTATGACGTTGTCCAAGATGGCGACAAGTGGGCGCATGCATGGTATTTTTCAAATCGGCAAGTGAAAAAACTACTGCAACTCGGGCAGTGACGAGCTACTCCAACTTGGCAGTGACGAACCATAAAACCCTCGTGGCTTGTGACGTCAGAGGTTTAAAAAGTCAGCTGTGTCCCTTGTTTTTCCTAATTGGCAGCTCGACCTGCTCCGGATAAACGACTCAGAGAGAAATGTAAGTAACTTTTAGCTTTTTATTCCCTTCTTTTGGCGTTTTAACCATTGCATTGCTAAGTTTTGGAAAAATACTTTTTTTATTCATCATTATCATATTTTATCATTTTAGTGTTTTATGGGGCACTAAAAGGGACATGAAAGAGAAAAAAAATGTTTCTGGTGGTCACATGTAAGTTTCTGGTGCAAATGGGAAACTTTTTTTGTGTGCACCCGAAAACTTATGTGATCACCAGAAATGTCTGTGGTGCTCAGATGTAAGTTTCAGGTCAGCATCACAAATATTTATTTTCATTTTATTCCCATGTCCCTTTAGGGGCTTCATAAAGCTTCAGTATTGTTTACAGTAAACTTCTTGAAGAAACTCTTTTATACACATTTTATTAAACTTGTAATCAACAATGTTTGAACAGATGGAGTTTCTGCACATGGAGACCAGGTTGAACTTGTCCAGCGTCAAAGTAGACTCCTGCAACTACAAGACAAGGTGAGAGTCAAACTGTGGATTTGTATCCAATTAGAAAGCAGTTGTTTGACAAATGTTGTACTCACACTAAACCTAGTTAACATGACTCTGTCTTGGGTTTATTTTCCAGATTGGTCATCATGAAAATCTTCAACATGGTAGGGAGCGTCATTTTTCTATTTGTCCTTTGGTAGCCGCCGTGCCGCTGCTTTCCGCTATCAGGCCGCCGTGTCGCTGCTTTCCGCTATCAGGCTGCCGTGCCTCTGCTATATTCTACTAGGCTGCCGTGCCTCTGCTTTCATCTGCTAGGCTGCCATGTTGCACCTATCCTCTACTAGGCCGCTGTGCCACTATCAGCCCACGTGTGTGTGAATGTATTAAACTTAGCAGTACAAACAGCAAATGGCCTCTTGTCTGTCTTTTCCACCTATCTGTTCTGTGTCCCAGTTTAGCCATTAACTAGACTTTCAGGAACATTTTTACTTTTTAAATTTAGAGTTCACTGGCAGTTTATGTAACTGAAACCAAAAATATATAACTAAAATCCAAAATGTATGTCATATTTGTGGTAATTTTCCATGATTTTGGATGTTGCGGTCATGTTCTACGATTATGGATGTTGCAGTTGCTGTCAATTTCCGGCTGTCCAGAGAAACCACAATTCCAGCTTCACTAACCAACATGGATATTCAAGACTTGAAGACATGTAAATGTGCTTGACTTTGTACTTTTGTCAATGTATTCCTCTAAGCTTCTTGGATGAGAGGTGAAATGTCCAGTTGCCTAACAGAACTTTTCAACCATCATCATTACAGTTTTACTTTTGGCTGCTGTTGAGCCTTATTTTTTGCTTTATTTGTAAATAAATAAACTCAGTGAAAGACATTTTTGTTCACCATTATTACTAGATGTCTTTTGGAATGGGGTCAAGGGCCAGTTTGGTTTCAAACTCGTGCTACATTCAAATGAATTAATTTTATTTGGAAAATGCTTACATGCTGATCCAGACATACCCAGAGCGTTGCAGGACTTTTGAGTTGTTTTAGTTGGGCTTTCGCACAAAATGAAGAAAAATAGTGTTAATTTTCCATTTTGTTTACCACTCTCAATATGTCTTTTGTTTTGGTCTCTTTTGTCTGCTTGTAATCTAAGCAGTTCCTGACAACACCTGTCTCTGGCAATCCTTTTAGTATCACACACAGTTAGGTTTTTGTATGTTTTAAGTTGTACAACAATAAAAGTTAAAACATGTAGAAACACTGTTGTGGAGGGATATAATGGCTGTTGAAAACACTTTTTAATTAAAGCAACTGTGCAAACGTGGTCATCGAGTCCCCCTCTGTCCTTACTGGAGCCAGGCAGACTTCTTTGTGTGTTATTTATGGCCACACAACAACAAAGAAACAGAACAATAAATCACACAAGCCGAACATTCAAGTCCTCTCTGGAGGTATGCAGCAGCTATTGTGTTAAACTTTCAAAAGTCTGTGACAGAAAAGGAACCTTTGCTCTACTGAAGCCAGTTGTTAAAGTTTTTGAACTATGGGAATTTGTGCTGTTATAGTTACATCACGCATGCATTTTGAATCATGCAATCATGAATTCATTACGTTGAGATAATGTATTGTTCATTTTCATGTGAAATGTTGTACTTAATACAGTATCTTAGGAGGACTCGTCTGTATCTGGGTAGCCTATAGTACTAATTTTTGCCCTTGCTTAAAAAACTTTGTGAAACATAATTGAGGCGATGCTAAAAGTGTTTTTTTTTCTTTTCCCTAATGAGTTAGATTCAATACATGCGATCAACTCTTAAGTCAACTTTTGGTCAGTGAGAATCTAGGGTTGTGCCTTTAAGTTTTTTATTCTTTTCTGTTATTTTTACTTTGAATGATATGTGATCATGAAGTTACTGCGAAGAGGGGGGTAGCTTCCCAGAGGCATGTGTTTATTTGGCAGTGGGTGGGCGGGTTACATCATCTATCTGTCCCCTTCATAGCCTTTTTGTCCCCTGTGCTGACATAAAGAAACACAGTAAGATCATCATCAGAGTGACATAAGCTCAGTAGCATTGAAAGCGCTTGGTCTCACAATAGCCTGCGGCCATGTTACATCATTAGTCCAACACTTTGTTGGGGTTCAGTCCAATTATTCTGATCCGCCTGCGAACTGAATTGCATTATTGCAAATAATATCCATAGCGTTATACAATGCGACAGAGAGACTGCGGGAGTTGGGGTGAAAAAGAGAACAGCAGCTGGAAAAAAGGGATAAGGAGAGGAAACAATTTGGGTGCCAGTATTGAGCACTGGCGGTTGTCTAGTTGTTTGGTAGCTTGCTCTTTGAAAGGGCATATTGATCATGTCTCGCTCTGTAATGAACTTTTGTATTTACCACATAAACATCTCTACCATCCACCTACTCATCCACTTTCCTGCATTGATTACAATGTTCCTGTGTCAGACTTTGTTAGAGGACCTATTTTGTTCCTCGTTTCTGCTTCTGTCCAGGACTTTCACCTTTTTCCTTTGTCACTCTATGTCCTCTTCACTTTTTGTTCTTTTGGTCTCGTACTATATATTTCACAGTTATTGCGCTTTGGCTGTCGGGGCTTGTGGTGATCATTGTGTCCCAGATCATTACTTTTTCCATTTTGATAAAGCTTGAGGTGTAATAGTATGAAAAGTCAGAGCCAGAAGCAGATGATAGCCTCAGTCCTGCCAACAGCGACAGCATTGGCATTGACAATTAATTTAACTAAGGCTCTATCCACCCTGCTAAATGACATGGTTTAAGTCAGTTGAGATGGCGATCAAAGCATCCGGATGCCGTGGCTGCAGCCTAACCACAAATTCCCTCAGGAAATAGTATGGCCAGGGGCTTACAGCTAACAGCTCTAAGTCCAGCATCATACGACTACCTTCATCTATAGGTCACAGGGGTTATACCATCAGTTGTTTAGTTCTCCACCTTTCCTCTTGCCACAGGCTTTAGTGTCTTTGTCAGTTTTATTAAAGTTTTATATAAGTACTGGAATGCTAGCTGCTATATCAATGGTAGCATCTGGTGTGCAACATGCTATATTTTAGCATGTATATTTCAGAACTTTCACACATCTTCATGTATTTGATGATGGTTTTGCAAGTATTTAATTTTTTCACCTTTTTTAGTAGTTTCAACCATCTTGAAAAAAAAATTAACATGACTCTGTCTTGGGTTTATTTTCCAGATTGGTCATCATGAAAATCTTCAACATGGTAGGGAGCGTCATTTTTCTATTTGTCCTTTGGTAGCCGCCGTGCCGCTGCTTTCCGCTATCAGGCCGCCGTGTCGCTGCTTTCCGCTATCAGGCTGCCGTGCCTCTGCTATATTCTACTAGGCTGCCGTGCCTCTGCTTTCATCTGCTAGGCTGCCATGTTGCACCTATCCTCTACTAGGCCGCTGTGCCACTATCAGCCCACGTGTGTGTGAATGTATAACACTTAGCAGTACAAACAGCAAATGGCCTCTTGTCTGTCTTTTCCACCTATCTGTTCTGTGTCCCAGTTTAGCCATTAACTAGACTTTCAGGAACATTTTTACTTTTTAAATTTAGAGTTCACTGGCAGTTTATGTAACTGAAACCAAAAATATATAACTAAAATCCAAAATGTATGTCATATTTGTGGTAATTTTCCATGATTTTGGATGTTGCGGTCATGTTCTACGATTATGGATGTTGCAGTTGCTGTCAATTTCCGGCTGTCCAGAGAAACCACAATTCCAGCTTCACTAACCAACATGGATATTCAAGACTTGAAGACATGTAAATGTGCTTGACTTTGTACTTTTGTCAATGTATTCCTCTAAGCTTCTTGGATGAGAGGTGAAATGTCCAGTTGCCTAACAGAACTTTTCAACCATCATCATTACAGTTTTACTTTTGGCTGCTGTTGAGCCTTATTTTTTGCTTTATTTGTAAATAAATAAACTCAGTGAAAGACATTTTTGTTCACCATTATTACTAGATGTCTTTTGGAATGGGGTCAAGGGCCAGTTTGGTTTCAAACTCGTGCTACATTCAAATGAATTAATTTTATTTGGAAAATGCTTACATGCTGATCCAGACATACCCAGAGCGTTGCAGGACTTTTGAGTTGTTTTAGTTGGGCTTTCGCACAAAATGAAGAAAAATAGTGTTAATTTTCCATTTTGTTTACCACTCTCAATATGTCTTTTGTTTTGGTCTCTTTTGTCTGCTTGTAATCTAAGCAGTTCCTGACAACACCTGTCTCTGGCAATCCTTTTAGTATCACACACAGTTAGGTTTTTGTATGTTTTAAGTTGTACAACAATAAAAGTTAAAACATGTAGAAACACTGTTGTGGAGGGATATAATGGCTGTTGAAAACACTTTTTAATTAAAGCAACTGTGCAAACGTGGTCATCGAGTCCCCCTCTGTCCTTACTGGAGCCAGGCAGACTTCTTTGTGTGTTATTTATGGCCACACAACAACAAAGAAACAGAACAATAAATCACACAAGCCGAACATTCAAGTCCTCTCTGGAGGTATGCAGCAGCTATTGTGTTAAACTTTCAAAAGTCTGTGACAGAAAAGGAACCTTTGCTCTACTGAAGCCAGTTGTTAAAGTTTTTGAACTATGGGAATTTGTGCTGTTATAGTTACATCACGCATGCATTTTGAATCATGCAATCATGAATTCATTACGTTGAGATAATGTATTGTTCATTTTCATGTGAAATGTTGTACTTAATACAGTATCTTAGGAGGACTCGTCTGTATCTGGGTAGCCTATAGTACTAATTTTTGCCCTTGCTTAAAAAACTTTGTGAAACATAATTGAGGCGATGCTAAAAGTGTTTTTTTTTCTTTTCCCTAATGAGTTAGATTCAATACATGCGATCAACTCTTAAGTCAACTTTTGGTCAGTGAGAATCTAGGGTTGTGCCTTTAAGTTTTTTATTCTTTTCTGTTATTTTTACTTTGAATGATATGTGATCATGAAGTTACTGCGAAGAGGGGGGTAGCTTCCCAGAGGCATGTGTTTATTTGGCAGTGGGTGGGCGGGTTACATCATCTATCTGTCCCCTTCATAGCCTTTTTGTCCCCTGTGCTGACATAAAGAAACACAGTAAGATCATCATCAGAGTGACATAAGCTCAGTAGCATTGAAAGCGCTTGGTCTCACAATAGCCTGCGGCCATGTTACATCATTAGTCCAACACTTTGTTGGGGTTCAGTCCAATTATTCTGATCCGCCTGCGAACTGAATTGCATTATTGCAAATAATATCCATAGCGTTATACAATGCGACAGAGAGACTGCGGGAGTTGGGGTGAAAAAGAGAACAGCAGCTGGAAAAAAGGGATAAGGAGAGGAAACAATTTGGGTGCCAGTATTGAGCACTGGCGGTTGTCTAGTTGTTTGGTAGCTTGCTCTTTGAAAGGGCATATTGATCATGTCTCGCTCTGTAATGAACTTTTGTATTTACCACATAAACATCTCTACCATCCACCTACTCATCCACTTTCCTGCATTGATTACAATGTTCCTGTGTCAGACTTTGTTAGAGGACCTATTTTGTTCCTCGTTTCTGCTTCTGTCCAGGACTTTCACCTTTTTCCTTTGTCACTCTATGTCCTCTTCACTTTTTGTTCTTTTGGTCTCGTACTATATATTTCACAGTTATTGCGCTTTGGCTGTCGGGGCTTGTGGTGATCATTGTGTCCCAGATCATTACTTTTTCCATTTTGATAAAGCTTGAGGTGTAATAGTATGAAAAGTCAGAGCCAGAAGCAGATGATAGCCTCAGTCCTGCCAACAGCGACAGCATTGGCATTGACAATTAATTTAACTAAGGCTCTATCCACCCTGCTAAATGACATGGTTTAAGTCAGTTGAGATGGCGATCAAAGCATCCGGATGCCGTGGCTGCAGCCTAACCACAAATTCCCTCAGGAAATAGTATGGCCAGGGGCTTACAGCTAACAGCTCTAAGTCCAGCATCATACGACTACCTTCATCTATAGGTCACAGTGGTTATACCATCAGTTGTTTAGTTCTCCACCTTTCCTCTTGCCACAGGCTTTAGTGTCTTTGTCAGTTTTATTAAAGTTTTATATAAGTACTGGAATGCTAGCTGCTATATCAATGGTAGCATCTGGTGTGCAACATGCTATATTTTAGCATGTATATTTCAGAACTTTCACACATCTTCATGTATTTGATGATGGTTTTGCAAGTATTTAATTTTTTCACCTTTTTTAGTAGTTTCAACCATCTTGAAAAAAAAAAGGTGGGTAGGTGATAGATAAATGTGTATGTCATTTTCTGATGTAAATGAGACAGTTGACCAGCCTGACATCAGGTTTTACTGCAAATCTTATGTGCAGTCCATAGTAGCAGCGAGGCTGGCACATAAAGTAAATACGATTTATTAGAAAATATCTATCTATAGATATAGAGAGAATTTATCTAACCCACTTTTTCCCCCAGCCACAAAACAAACGAGTTTATGCAAACTGCGCGGTGTAAACTAATAGTGTTATTATTTCCCCGTCCAACTGTGTAACTGCCAGTTGATGAGTTTATCCCTTTTAACTACAGTTCTATTGTTGCCTCATATCTCCCTGCCTAAACCATGGGACAAATGTGTGTGCACATTTGTCAGTGTGTCCTTGTGTCTCTATTTGCAGTGAGACCTTGGACCCAAATGTAATTATACTTGGTAATGATGTGGTCTGTTTACAGCTAAAGCCTCTCTGCTAATGATAAATGCTCTTGACGTTTGCTGTCCACACCACACAGGATAGCAGGAGAGTGAGGGGGAAAGCAGTCTAACCATGTTAGTCAGTCAACAGACACTAACAGATCATGTACCTAAATTCCAGAATCTGTGTTCAGAATCTTATGTTCTCGGAGATCCTGTGGACACATTAGGGTAGACAACTCACTTGCAGCTGAGTGAACTGCCCCTGGACCTGTCCTTCAGGTCTGCAAACAAACACACTTGGTTTTGAGTACAGAGGATTTATACAGGAAAAATATGAGTTCCTGTAGAATTCTTTGCATGTTCTCGTATCATTATTTGGTGTCAAGTTACAGTCAAACCTTTACTTTATCTCTTCTAATAACCAAGTAATAGCAGCAGTCCCTTAAATAATTCAATTTTTTGGTTTTAATTAACCTTTAGTGGTAGATATTGACAAAACATAAATGTTCTAATGATTTTTGAATCTCTATTTTTGTTCCATTTGACAACCTCTATGTTTTGCATTTTAATGATAACTAAAGGCTCAAGGCTCTAACTCATACAAACAGTGGTTTATTGCTGGCTATAAGCAGGTCATGACCACGACCCACTCAGGAAACTCAAACAAACAAGTGGCTTTTCTTAAACAATGCACTGTCAAGAAAGAGATGCCAAGTTTCCTTTTTTTTTTTTCATTTCCGGATTAAACTGAAGGCAAGTTTGTAAATGCTCTGATTCACACTTGACATTATGCAAATGAGAGAGAGAGAGAAAGTCCAAAGCAGTAATTTGTGTGTAATATCCCAAAGTCAGCCAACACTCAGGAGACAGGAGAGGGAGGAAAAAAAAAATCAAGCAGCTGTCTTATTTCCCTAACTGGCTTTGGCTCATTAGCATAAACTCCCAACATCGAGAAAGGCTACAGGGAAGCAACTGCCCTCCAGGAAACACGACCACAGCCAGTTAGAGTAAGAGTATGTAACAATTGTCACTCTGTACTTACAAACTCTAACAGTAAAGCAAACCTCACATTTCAGCTGTGCCATAAAGTTTAAATGGCTTAGTCAATGAGTTAAGTGTCTGGCACGAAGGATCACTGGACGGTGATGCTGCTTTTTTAATGTTCGATAGTTCAGGGCTTAGCTTAGCTGCATGACTGTACAACATCAGCATTCTGCCAAATCTTTATTTTTAGAAAAAAAATAGAT